GCATAGCGATTGAGCTGTATAAAGAACGCTAGAACTGTTATAATGAGGCAAATGATCCGCGACAGTCGCGCGCGGCGGATCGATTGCCCAAAACAGTTCCTACTGCCCGTCTCCCAGGAAAATGCTCGGAGACCACCCGCACTCCTCTGCTGATGGCTTATGCTTAGTACCATATGCATTTGCTTGCCAGCTGTAAGCCATTCTCTCATAGCGTCTTGCGACTGCACAGTATAAACTTTACAAACCCCTCAATTTTTCACTCATTTCGACCACTTCCACTTCAATGCCCTGTCCGCCTGATTGATTTGAATCAAATCCATCTAAAACGCCACTTGGTGGTGCAAGCTTTCATGCTTTCTTTCTATGCTACTTCTCCCACGAAGGAGTACTGAATCCTATACAAACGCTTCCCCGTGACAAACATCGTCGATGAGTACCCAAACCAAGCTTTTTGATGCTGAACTCCTTTCAAATATTTCAGCATTTCTTAGAACCCTTATGTTTGGACCATTACCCGGCCGGCGTTACATGGGTTTCGGAAACTGGCGCCCTGCAAAACTAACTATCGCGGCATAGTTTGAGATCTTCTTGCTCGCAAAAATCGAGCACATGACCAGTCTTACTATGAAGAAAAACACAAAGTGCATTGCAGGTGCCCGATCATGGTACATCGCAGGTTTCTGTGCTCGATGAGTACGGCAATGGCGTCTCCTCCACGACAACAGTGAATCGATGGTAAGGGAGCTTACATAACAATTGTCGTACACAAGAAACCCATATTTCTACAGGTTCGGAGCAGCTGTCGAATCTGAAGCCTACGGAATCGTCTGGAATGATGAGATGGACGATTTTTCCACACCCGGAATGGCTAATGGGTAAGTATTCTTCAGCTTCATACTAATAAGGGTTTCGTATGGTTACTGCATTCTTCAACATCAGCGCCTCTCAACAATCCCTTATAGGTTCGGATTTGCTCCATCAGAAACGAATTTCATTGAACCTGGCAAACGGCCAATGAGCAGCATGAGTCCCATGGTGATTTTCGATGAAGAAACGAAAGAGGTATGTTAGATTCCAGAAGGAATAAAACCACACTTGAAGGTATCACCTCTTTTGGTATACCTAAATTGCTGTTCTGCTTCTTATCGAACGGTTTTTAGCCAGTGATGGTTATTGGAGGCTCTGGTGGCTCGAAAATTATTTCAGCTGTAGCCAAGGTGAGTACTGCCAACGTAGCGATCGCAGTAGGAACGAATAAAACAGATTTTAGGCAATTGTTCGTCCCCTAATTTTCGGCGAGAGTATAAAACAGGCGATCGACTCGCCGATGGTCCATAACCAATTCACTCCTGACATCACACAGATTGATGACTCTTTTCCAAAGGTTGAACTTTTTGATTTGTCTATCATTTATTGCACTACAATTAGCTCCCTTCCCTCCCTCCCAGTGTATCATCCACCTCCTCCATTCTTAGCCAAAAACTTGACGTTGAATCTAAGTAGAAACTAGTGAAGCTTAGGATGTCTATGTTTGGGCAGGGATATACCCTCAACTCGAAACGATAAGTGGAGGTGAGACTTGTACTGCAATCCTAAGGAGCGATGTTTCGTGGTGTGGGAGCTAAAACGTAGCGTTACCCAATAGAAAAATGGTCCCACACGCACTTGCCAAGTTGCATAGCAGGGTTGGGGAGGGGGGGGGGGGGGGGGG